TGGGGCGTACTTTGAGGTGATCAAGTTTTCCATCATATCTTCTTTATGGTGTTTCTTGATATCTTTGTTGCTGTTATGTATAGAAGTCCCCATTAGTTTTTAATGATGAGTGATTATGCTGCTTACGCATTTGCTCATTTTTTTTTCTAACTAGATGTTTGAGCCATTAGCATATGGTTTATAAGTGACTGTTACGGTCCCGATAACACGAAACGAGAATAAAACTAATGCACTCAAGTGTTCACCTCAAAATGGTTACAACAGCAAAATATATTGGCTGGTTAATAAGCCTACTGAAACTAACTAACCGAATAACTAGAGCGGTAAAAGCTAGACGAGAAATAAACATCCAGTTAACTGAAAGAAGAGTGGTAAAACAATTAACCACACGGTTAAAGAAAGGGATCAACAAAGAACAAAGATCCCCAACTCTCCTAATTTGTAGCCAAGTCACTCCTAGATAGCTACTACAGGCTCTTACTTCTATCCTACTAATATACCCAATATACTCATACTCTAGGTACTTTCACAGTGACTTTAGGCCAAAATCTTTTTAGAACGGGCCCAATTTGCTTCATTTTTTCCATTGAAGGCATAGTTATTTGTTAAATTAGTTGGACTCCTGTTCAATGTTAGCAATTGGCCACTGTTAATTGTATCTACTGCTTCAGCTCCATTGTAGGTGGTCGTTGGAGACAAATGCTGAGAACTCTTCTTCCATTGAGATTAGAGCAGGTATGTTTACCATTCCTTGTACACATTTAGTGATTGTCCTTTTGTCCTTCACCCATCTCTTTGTATATGTACGAGCTTCAACGCAGTCGTGGTACTTGCCCCTCCTAACCTATCCTAGGGGAAAACGAAAAGACTGGAAAGAATGGATAAGAGATGAAAATCCCCCTACCGATCACGAGGAAAAAAAAGAATAAATAAAGAAAAGTATCATCCCTATCATGTGCAATTTTCTATGTCTTGACAAATCTTACAAATGAGACTTTGTTTGATGGGACAACAGGTGTACATTTTAAGAAATGGTGTCTGATGCAATCTAAAATAAAGGCTGGCGCAATGCTTGAGGTGCACATTTTCTCGTTTCGTTACGGTTTCAACTGCCCTTCCTTCGTCGTTTTTCTTGCTCTAGTTTCGTTCAGGCTTCGATGATTACACTTCCTAATACTTCATATTCACTTAGTTTCAGATTAGTTTTGTTCTAAGTGGTAAGTTGATAACTTGTTACAGTACAAGCGAGCGGTGGAGCTGAGGTTAGAGGTCGCCCTCGAATATACGAAGTCAAATGCTTCTGGCAGCGAAAATGACAAAATTGCACCTCCACCACCACCAGCTCAGAGCACTTGATTTCCTCCCCCAAAGTCAGATTGGGTTCCATATACACTGGAACAATGGTATTCCCTCACTTCATTAAGAGCTTACTTTTAGTGTACAAATGAGTTTCATCCTTAGAATAAGTGCTTCGTTTAATATATTGAGTTTTCAACTTAGGAGACTGGTGCTGTGTTTTTGCAACTCCTCATACTCATTACCATTGCCATACCATATCAATATATACCAAAAAGTGATCTCCATATGGTCCTCTTGTTTCTCAAGAAAGTACAGAATTTTACCCTTTGTTTTTACAGGTAAGTTGAGTGTTCCACCAGCACATTTACTTTGTAAAGTGATTAATTTTTGTTATATACGAGCTACTTTACACACACATCTTGTCGATTCCTACGATCAATTGTCTAACTCTACAATATTGGATTGTGGAATACTTGTATGATTTTAATATCCTAAACAAGTAGGGATGGAGTGTTGTTTACTCTTTCGAACTTATTTTTGTGGGATTGAGAGGATTCGAACATTTAACTTGATTCTATCTGACCAAGTCATGTGCTTGTCCAAAAAGGGAGATTGCTTTACCCGATGCTCTTTTTGATAAAATGGCAGAGCCCTTCAACACGACATTCATTTAGCATCTAGCACTTATATCACAATGAAAAGAATTAGTGAAATGAGTTTGATTTTAAATGTCTTTATCAAAGACTTTGAATTCTTTCACCCAATATCAATTTAAAATATATATTAGAACATGATTATCCGACAAAAATAATAAAACATCATTAATGTAATCCAATTGCCAATATCTTGTCGAGACAGGAAAGGGAAAAGTTCATCAATTCAAGTAATTGTTTAAAATAATAATTCCCTATTTTTAAAATTTTAATTGAGAGGTTTATGTTTGTTTATGGTTCAAATATTCAAATTTGTGTCTTTTTCAGTTGTTATTCAATCATTTCAACTGTTCCTCCTTCAGAAATCAATTTAATATTTTGGATTTCACATCTCTATTTTTTTAATTTTTAAATATCATAATTCAAACGATGAGAAAGAGATTCGAGCCTACGACCCATTAAAAAATATTAATAATTTGATGGGTCTGAATAGTATTCAGATTGGCATAATAATTATGACATCATAATTTGTAAATATGGTTTACATAAAAAAAAAAGAAAAAAAAAAGGAAATAATGATCTTTTGATCTTTTCTTTTTAGTTTAATGGATCACGAGATAAATAGTTGGTGTGTTCGAATTAAAATAAAAAGGGCAAAGATTAAGTAAAGTGAACGATAAAGAAATGACAATCCAAAAAGTTCGGTTTTTTTTTTTTTTTTGTCAAAAAAGTGGAGATTTTGACAAAAGAAAGCGCATTAATCTTTCAAAATTAGGGTTTTGAAGGCCTGAAGAGAGATGTTGACCCTTTCAAACTTTGACAATCATTACCTAAACACGACCTTTTTTCCACTTACTCGCTCTAGTTTTGCTCCATCTTATAATTGCGCTCTTATGATAATAAAGATTATGTGACATTTATTTTAATTTGGTAAATTAGTCAGACATATGAAAATTGTAAATCACGAATAATTTGGAAGTATTCGTGAGCGTGAGCAATAATATTAGAGGCTAAAAGCAAAACAAACAACAATCATATTTTTGATAGCATATAACTCGGGTACGAAGAATTGACAACTAGTCACATTCCTGTCTGGTGTAGACATGGTTTTGGTAAATGTTCAATATAATCTTTTTTTTTTTTTTTTTTGTAAGATCTCACCTCGGTTAAAGAGAAAAACGAAATATTTATTATAATACAAAAGTGTAGAAACCTCTCTTCAATATGTTTTAAAACTGTGAGCCTGACGAGACCATATGTGGGAGCCGTGGGTGGGGTTTGTATGTTACCATTTTTTAAAAATGAAATTATGAAGAAAAAACCAGAATGTTTTTTTTTTTTTTTAATTTAAAAGGAAAATAATTATTAATTTATAAAATTTAAAAATAGGTGTAAGGCAGGTGGGAGTGTAGGAGGGAGGGGGTGTCCTTAGAAATGTACCGAACCAGGTACTTGTCGTAGTTGAGATTGAGACCAAAACCGCGTCGGGGGGTGGGTCCCACGCGGCTACCGTGTGGACTTTTGGGAGGAGAGAGATTGTTCCACGTCGGTCCTACTACTCACACGTGTCATCATCATCCTTTTATTTCATGACCAAAAGTCTGCGTAGGATTCACGGACCCAACATGTGGGACCCACTCCTGATATCCCTTTCCCGCCCTCAGAACCACCGAACCATTTGTCCAAATAACTCCACTCACGGTTGGATCCACGCGACTCAAACTCTCGTGGCTTTGTTATGAGCATTCTCTAAATTAACGGATGGCATGATCCAATTATATGGATTAAATAAATATTTTAAGGTGATTATGCTTTAATTAATTATTTATTATTTAAAAAAAAATATGATTGGATCAAATCCTCCTAAATATCTCTAAATTAATTAGACATAAAAATTAACAAAAAAGAAAAATTTATTACTACTCTCTTTTTCTTCTTCTGTTCTATTTTCTCGGGTTGATTAGATAAAACGTCAAATCACTTAACAGTCTCTCTCATTTGTCAAACAAATCAGAATAAAGTCAACAATTTCTCTCTCTTCACAAAAAAGGAATATATATATATATTAAAAAATATATTTTTTTTTTTAATTTTATAATGATAACAATTGTTCGTTTCTAATCATTTTTGTTAGAGTGATAATTAAATAAAATCAAATTATTACGCAATATAATTGGCAAATTATTTATAATATATATCTATTTAATTAAATAGTTGTAAATGAATTATCACATATTATGTTATAAATCAGGAGAGGTGCGAATGAGAGAGTATTTTTACTCTTAATTATAGAATAATCATACTCCGTGTTTAACTTAATTTTGATTTTATTTAATAAATCTATTATTTTTGAGATACGAGCCAACTAGAAGTTAGAAACATAAATGTTATGAAATAAAATTCAGTTATACCCCACATTTAAGAGAACTCAAACGACAAGATAGTTCGAGAGAGACAATTTATTATGATTGTCTCATAAGTATGTTCGATACTTTATTGTTTTTATAAATACAATATTCTTATATTCAACGATTTTATGTAATATAAATGAATAACTAACTTATAAAATTTTAGGACATAAAAATTGGATGTGACAAAAAAAAAAATTTATTTATTTTTTTCTTATGTTTAGATTTAGTCGGATGGATTCAAATTTAGATTATTTATTTAGGATAAAAATAAAATATTAATAGGCTATTTATTTTTATAATTAAAATATTTAATTTGTTTTTTGCGAGAATTTTTAGAGAATAAATAATTGAAATGATGGATTTAAATGAAATTATAAGAAATAAATATATATTTTAAACTTAATAAATTAGAGTTATAATCAGATTTAATCGAATTTACTTTTTAAATATAAAATGAATAGAAAAAAGAAAACAATTTCACCTTGGGTAAATTTTGATTTCTTTTGCCTTTTACTTCCACTGGCTGGATATTAGCTGTCAGTTTCTAAAAATATTATAAAAAAGTAATATATTCAATTTTCAAAATTTATTTATTTATTTTTTTTTTTTTTTTTTTTTTTTTTCCTTTATTTAAACACTTCCGGAAAACCTTCACTCCCCTCCTCCTCCATTTCCCACTAGACTATCAAACTCCTTTCTTTCTTCCCTCTCTGATAGCAACTCATCCATGGTGGATTTCTTCATCGCTGATTGCTCGATTTCAGCCAGTTTTTGCACTGTTATCGTCTTCTCAATCTTCGGGTTCCGTTGATACAGAGATTAAATTGTTCCAACACTCGATTACCTCTTCACTCTCCAGAGATTAACGAGAAAAAACGCGCCTCTGTTCTTCGATTGGATTCTACGCTGTGGAGCTCTCTCTTGTTGATCGAACATCTTCCGTAGTTCATTCTGTCTCCGGTGGACGGATTATTGGGATTTTTGGTTAATACTTCGTCGGGATGATTGCGAGCTCTCTTTGCAATGCTTCCGCTAAGTTCCCGGTGTGTGTTTCGTTGATTTCTCATTCTCTTTACTGTTATTGTTCTTCCTTTTTTTTCAGGCTGCTTCTTGAACTGTGATAGATTACTGTATTTTGTCATCTCGTTCATGAGTAGTCAATACTTACACCAACTTTTGTTTTTATCTTCTTTTTATCGGTTTCCATGCTAAACTGTGTAAGATTGTACTATTGATTAGTTGATTTTTGTTAATTGTGTTATTAGTTACAGTGTTTATCTTAATCTGGTTCTGGTATTTGGTTTTCTGCCTTTGATTGGTGTGTTCAAGATATTAAAAGGAAGGGGTAGGATAATTCTGTACGCAAATTACATATTCTCCTAGTTTAATCCCTACGTGGTGTGGATTTGTTTATCTGTATTTGTTTTAAAATAGAAAAAAAAAAAAATTGTTCATCTGGGCCCACCCTGTCTCATTTATAACATCTGTTTGGTTTAAAATACCCATTCTGGATTCCCATTACCCAACCCATTACTTCTACTTTTCTCAAAAAGTAGAAAACTTACAGGTGTTCTCCTGTTTCTTATTCCAGTGTCTCGTTAGTTGTAACTTTGTGTGTGTGTTCATCTCCTGAGTTGTCTTTTGCGATGTTAGGTTCATTGTATTACCCTTTCTACTGGCCGAAACAGCCAAATTTTGATATAAAGACACAGCTCTTAACTGTTTTTTTGGTCAAGATGGTCAGTGTGAGAAGGAACATCCAGATCGTTTTAATTTGGGCATGAATTGATGAGAGATGTTTGTATTTGTTTATTTTGTGCATGTATATTGCTGTCATCGTTATTAACCTATTAATCTCAATATAATAACCCTCTGACCCTACTCTTTTCATATTATTATTCTTAATTGTGCTGATTGTTTTCGGTAATATATATCGGTGTTCGTCATTAGACTATGGAACTTCTGTCTACTTGTATTCCTTTTGTCCTCTAGTAGTCTGTATTATTATATAGTGGTTGTTAATATAGTAGATCAAATTAATCAATATTATATTGTTAATAATTTAATCATCTAATGTGGTATACTTATCTGCATGCTATCTGAAGTTCTGTACCAAAGTAATAATGTTTTGTCCGATCTATGAGGATGCTATTATTTCAAGGAATTTAATTAAAGATTATGAAGTTCGTGGGGTCGTTATTTCTTGGTCGTAGAATTCATTTGGTTTTAAAAGTCAAACAATTTGTGTTCATGTGTATTCACATGACAGGCATTTAAAAATATGCCTGTCTTGAACCCGTGGGAGATCTGTATACTTTTCAGATTTTCTCAGTTGACTTTCGTTGTTGTATGAGTTTTTTTTATCGATCGAATTTCTTATTATTATATCTTTGCGAGTTCTTCCTCTAAATAAAGTTTACTCTATTTTACATGAAATATAGGATTTTGACGCTTGCATTGGATGTTTGTTGCCTATCTGCTGTGCATCTTGATTGATTGAATTTGATCTCTGTCCAGGCAGAAGTGGTGGAGGTAGAAACAATGATGGAACAGAAAAGTAACCTATGCTCTGTTGATGAGAGCAGTCTCACTTCTCTTACATCCAAGCGACGCAAGGCAGATTTTTCCATCTCCGCTAAGGTTTCTGTTATTGGTTCAACTTCACATTGCAGCATATTGAAGATTAAGATTTCTATCATATTAATAACTAATCATGCTTAGTAATATATAAAGTTTAAGTTTTGGGTCGTCCATTAGACAAGATTTGGTGGCCTTCTTATCTCATTTTGGGTGGTCCAATTGTATTTCTTTATTTTCCACTTGATTAATCCTCATTTCGTCCTGTTTTGTTCTTTACGAAGTACTAATATTCTCTTTCTATAGGAAAAGAAAGACAAACTGGGCGAACGAATTATGGCCTTGCAACAACTTGTTTCACCATTCGGAAAGGTCTGTTTGGAACAAATCAAATAACCATAAAAATTGACCTTTTATATTGAAACTTCAGGGTTCATATGACCTGGGCCAAATTTTATTTTGGCTCTTGAATTCCATAACCTATTTTTTGTGATTTTGCTATTAGTATTAAAATCATTGCCCTGTTTGAATTCAAGTTATAAAATTCCACTGCAGACAGATACGGCATCTGTTCTTCTTGAGGCCATGGAATATATTCAATTCCTTCACGAGCAAGTCAAGGTATGCTCTTCTTGCCTAAAGATTGTGGTTCCTTTTGAATTCTGATTTCGGTACCGAATACGAGTGGCTATCATGCCATGCATATAGCTTTTCTGTGACCTGTATTATACTTCTTTCCTCCATGAATCCTTCTAATTGGTGGTTCAGGGAATATATTTCCTTTTCACATCCATATTTTTCCTGACCTTTAGTGCTCTGAGCATCAATTAGTGATTATAAATTCATTTGATATTTATGGTGTAATTTGATTCCAGAATGGGCTATATCTCTCTCTCACTGATTTTGTTTTGGATTATTCTTCTATCCCTCTTTTAGTTTCTAGGTATTTAGTCATTGTGTTCCTTTCTTCCGTCATTTCCTCTCTCTCGTCAGCAATGGAACATAATCTACAGGATCGAATTAGTTTTGGTTCTCTCTTCTTATAGCCTATGGTTGAGAACATAAAGAGGATCCGTTGTATATTCCCTTATATTATTTTGGTGTGCTTTCAGGTATTGAGTGCTCCATATCTCCAAAGCACACCCACTGTTCAGTTGCAGGTGAGCCTATGCTGGACCTTTTGTTTCATGATCTGACAAAAGGCGTTCCTTAAAAACACTTGTCTGAGACGGAAAAAAAAAACTAATGTGAACAAAGTGTGTTCCTTCAAACCTCGATATTTGTCTTGCAACTAGAAAATTTTAATCTTCAAACTTCTGGGGAGGATGAAATTTAGTGACTTTGAACGTTTTTACTGCTTCATCTATTTAATTCAATGCAAAACCTGTCTGAATATTATTGCAACGTTTATACTCGTTTTTGTTAGGAGATGGAGTTGCCATACAACCACGGGCTGAGGAACAAAGGTTTATGTCTTGTACCCATCTCTTGTACTGCAGGAGTTGCACGTAGCAACGGTGCAGATATTTGGGCTCCTGTGAAGACAACCTCCCCCAAATTTGAGAAGACCATCTCACCATTCAATTGACCACAAACCAATGCTCCGCATCCAAATGATTCTGGAGTTGCTACATACGGTTGGTAAAAAAGGTAACTACTTATCTTCATATCTAATTTATAACAATTTTCCCTCTGAAGTAGCTGAATTGTATCAAATAATTTAGATGGTGCTTGGAAACTGTAATGAATTTGTTACGAAACGAGTAGTCGAATCTTCGGATTCCAAGCTCTGAATCGCCACACCATTCTAGTTATCACTGGTGAGGGGCATAGTTTATATCGCATAAGTGTATTTGGTTGTATTAAATGGTGCAAATATGTATATTGTAAACGAGTTGTATGATGATCCTAAATCGGAAATTCATGGTAGAGTAGCAATTTGTTACCTGCCTAGAACTAGATAGGCACCAATCATTGAAAGCCCGCTACCATGCTCACAAATTCTTGGTACTTCAGGAAATTGTTCTTCTTCACCTTGTGACGCACTCTTGAATTTGTGAAAGTTGGAAGTCCTTGGGAACATATTCAAGGAGTCTCATGCCAATGTCTTGAATTTGTGCGTCAAGGGAAGATTTGTTCTGATAATACTTTGATCAAAGGTTGTGTGGATTGAGGAAAATTATGAATTTAATTGGTGGGTTTTAATTTCATTAATAAGTCAAATTATAAGGACTAATTAATTAGACATAGCATTAAATTTAGGTTGAAATGCACCTAACTTCGGGTGATAATTGACATATATAAAATTAAACATGACAAGGCTAAATAATTCATCGGTTTTCAAAGTTCTTGAGTTGACACTAATTTTGTATCTTGAATCAATCAAAGAGGTCGGAGCTCAGCCCTGATCGAACTATTCTCCCGGCTCTGCCCCTCGGTTCGTCGCCGAACTCAACTATTTTCGAACAACCATCCTTCTCTTTGCATCCACGAATTTCATTTACTTCCAATAATCTTCAATTCCGACTCCGATTCCGATGGCCAGCTTTGGAGATTTTGGGTCATTTTTCTTTTTGGGTTTTCTAGTTTCTTCTACGTCATTTCTTCTCTTATAATTTCGTCATCGTAAACTTTCTGCCAGTTCGAGGCAATCTGGAATGGCCCCCCATGCCATCCACATCCAGCCCACTGCCAACAAGCTCCAAGAGCTTTGCTTGCACGACTACACAATTCGATTCAGCTCTGATGAAACTATTGCCTGTCGGATGGCTACTTTTGAGATACAGTTTTTTTGTATGCTAAAGGAGTTATCTATCTATCGGCTAAGAGTTCCAGGAGTGGCTGCAATTGAACTCTCAAGGACGCCTGGAACCCACATTGCAGCCTTCAACAAGCCACATGCAATTATACTTTTTACAGATGTTTTCGAAACTCATCTTCTCATTCTCGATGACATGCTAAAAAATAAAAGTACTTTGACACAAGCTTTCTCTTCTAGAGGGACAATGACAGGACATTCAGTCGATCAGGGAGGAAAAGAAGGGGCGCCCAATCAGCCTGGGAGGAGAGTCTCGTTTGTGCCGAAGGTGAGAATGAGTTCATCTTTTGTTGCTGAAAAGAATAATCAAAGAAAAATGCAAATTTGGGGTTTCTTAATTCTCCTAGTGTTTCATTTATCTTTTAGAATTTTTCACTGCACAGAAGTTTTACATGGGGGTTTCTCTCATTTTGTTTGTGGGGTTTTTTTTAAGCTACTTGGAAGAGCATGCAACTGTAGGATGATAGGAAAGCAATTTTGAGGTTTTTGAGCTTTTTTTCTTCTCATTTTCGATGTTGTTGACAACCTAGAGTTGAGAAGAATTGTTGGGAAGGAGTCCCTACGTTGGCTAATTAAAGGGATGATCATGTAGTCATTTGGCCGGCTATTAAAAGAAAAAATTTGCATATGGTAGAAGTAATCATCCCTACCGTCGTAAAATAAGAGCACCTGGCTCTGCCCATTCACACAAACTCAATTCTATGGCCAAACATCACATGCCAGCAAATATAGTCACCATCATTGATACTCAAGATATTTGCCCATTCACACAAACTCAATTCTATGGCCAAACATCACGTGCCAGCAAATATAGTCACCATCATTGATACTCAAGATATTGTGTCTAACATTTGCTCATAGTGTAGATAAGGCAGTCCCTGAAACTAAGAAAACTACGCTATTCAAAGCAATCTATCTACCTAAGGTTAGTTGAGTCTAATGCTGGGCTAGGTGATTCATCTATATCAATGGCCGAACTTTAATCTCTCCATTGATGTGAGGCCCTTTAGGCAAACCAAAAGCAAATCCATGAGAGTTTATGCTCAAAGTGAACAATATTATTGTGAAAGTTCGTGATTCCTAACCTGGTCTTTTTTCTTTTATTGTTCGCTAGTTTTTTTTTCCCTTCTTCTAGTAATTCTTTCCTGCACTTCTTTTCATCCAACTTCCCGTTTTCGCTCCATTTTGGTCCAACCTTTCATCGACATTTAAGACCGGAAAAAAACACATAACCAATCTAAAATGAAACAACAACTCTTGCATTCATTATTATAACATGGCAAAGAAAAGGACAATACCCCAACCAAGAATACCATACAAGGACTAGCTGCTGCATTTACTGATATGAACCAAGTTCATATCATTTACTCTTGGATCTCATTTAATTAACATCTCAACAACCTATAAATATGTTCACAAATAAATTCAGAAACCTGTTTTGCTTCATCAATTCAAGATAAGTTCGCAATTGTTGCATGTTTCATGGAAAGACTTTCTCCAGAGAGAGTATTCAGAGAATTGGAACAAAATAGCCTCAAAAGTTTACGTTGGACTACTACAAACTACAAACTCAAGCTACTCTAAAAAGAAGTTTTGTTTCAACAACGTCATTAAGGAATCTCATAATCTTGATGGAAAAGGACAATCTCCATTGAAAATCAGGCACTTTAGGAAGCATCCTCAAAATCTTACATCAGTTTTCCACGTACCTTGCACACTAGGATTTTTGGTCACATGTCTTGTCTTCAGTTTTATGACCTTTCGCCCCAGTGCATTCCTTAGCCTCGTTGCATGCAAATGTATTTCTTCCACATCCAAATTCCTTACACATACCACCCGTTGATTATTGTTCTCTGTGAAGGCAATGAAATATGGGAAATTCCATGTTCAAACACTATTAAATTATAACTGCAAGAAGCTGAGAGAGGGAGAGAGAATTACTGTAGAAGGCCTTCAAGTGTGGATGCTGCCCACGAATGAGTTCACGAACTACTTTTAGCTGAGGGTTTTTCTTCTTAAAATCTGGCAACTGCGAGTCCATAAATGCCCTGAAAGTTCAATGATAAGATACAAATCATTCAGGACATGTGAAACAGTATTTGATTCACTGTTAAAAGCTAGATAATAATTATAACAACAATCAAATAAAACTACAGAAGCATCGAGCTTATTCCTAGAAAACTAGGATGATCTCATATTCCAGGTTTAAGGTAGATAAATGTAACGGCTCAAGCCCACCGCTAGCAAATATTGTTCTCTTTAGACTTTTACTTCTGGACTTCCCCTGAAGGTTTTTAAAACGCGTCTCAAGAGAGATGGTTCCACACTCTTATGAAGAATGTTTTGTTCCCCTCTCCAACCGACGTGGGATCTCACAATAATAAATAAAAATAATAAAGGAATTCAGCTTTAGGTAAAAGAGAAAGTGGGTGGTGAAAGGAGTAAGGGTCTTACTGCACTCTCCAAGAACCCTAGTCCTAAAAAACCCACCTTTTCTTTGCACAGTCCATTTCCAAAAATCCAAGCAATTTCCTTAACTTTTTACCCAACTCAAACCAGTAAGCTAAAAGAAAGCAAGATGAGTATAAAATAATTATGCTTGAACATGGAAATATAAAGTATTTTGAGGTCAAAATTTAAACCTCCGTCAGTTAAGAACTGAAATCTGAGTAGTAATGAAATAATCAAGTAGATAATGGTTTAGCAATCCAACAAACCTGATACCCCTACTGCTTCCACCCCAATCACAATAGCTGACAATCAGCTTCTGAAGCTGCCATACACCTCGTAAAGCCATCTTTATATCTACAAAAGGGATTAAAAAAATCTAGTCCCAAATAGCAATCGAAGAAATGAAAAAGAAATATACGAATATGAACTTAACTCACACAACCAAGAGCTAAAATCTAAACGAATAAATCAATAATCATCAAATGATTTACAGAATCCATGAATAAGGAAAATAAGATTATCCAAAAAGAAAGATACTAGGAGCTTAAGAAGAAAAACGAATATCAAAATTTGACGATCTCTACTACCCTCCACCGAAAAGAGCAACAATGGAAGAAGCAGCTCATGAGAATCTAAGAAGAAGCTGTAATATCCAAATTGTACAATGTACTGAAGCTCTCTAGCTTCAATAAGGACGAACGACATACCTGAGACGGAGGATCGGTGCGGCTACCAACGAAGAGACCCAAAGAGCGACAAAGAGCGGGAGAGCAAATGATGGAGGGAGGCTCGAGCGATTGAGGTTTGGTTCCTGTAGTTTTCTTTTTTTAATTAAATTACAAATTTTATCGAAATAAAAATAAATTTTAAAAAAGGTTTTTTTTTTTAATTATTAGTTTAACCAAATATTGAATAAATTTATTTTGGGAATTATTTTGAATAATTTAATAAATTTATACGTTTAATAACCTTAATTCGAAAAGCTACCAAGTAAATTGCTGGCTGGAGTTGCAGGAAGTCCTCACGGCGGCCCAATTCTGCGAGAAGCGAGAGAGAGAGAGAACCGAGGATTCACCGGCCGTATCTCTGAACTCTGAATCTTCTTCTCTTTTATGGTCAGCAGCTGCTGAACCAGAATCTGCTCTTTCAACTTCTTCTACTTTCGCTATGGAGTTAGAATCATACTACGAAATTTCCCGCACCGCCGACTACATTCACACTCGGAACTTTACCAGAGTCGCATTGCAGGTATTACTACGAATCCACAAGTATTGCAGGTTTGAAATGATTTCAACTTTTTTATCTACTCCTTATTAACCAACTACGGAGAGTTTCGGTCTTGTGTTCTTCGAAATATTGTGGTTTGAGTTTGATTCAAGTCGAGTTTTTGCTCCCGTTCGGGTGCTATGAATGTACAAATGTTATATGTGTCATGGATTTTCTCATGTCTGGTTATTTGATCTTCAAATGCTCATAATTCCGTTTTTATATTATTATTTCCTACTTAATTGTTGATTTCTTTTATTTATGAAATTTTAGTTTCCTGATGAGCTCTTGAAGGATTCAACTAGAGTGGTCAGTGCTTTGAGGAAAAGACTCTGTGCGCTTAATGATCCAAACCAAAGCGATGACGAAAATAAGGTTAGGTTGTTCATAATGGCTGATACAACTTACGGTAGCTGTTGCGTTGATGAGGTTGGGGCAGCTCACGCTAATGCTGATTGTGTCATTCACTATGGACATACATGTCTGAGCCCGTGAGTATCAATCTACTATGGATATGTTATATGCTTTCTAGCAAGGTTTTTATGAACTTTTCACCTTGCAGTCCCCTTAGAAATCAGCATCCTAAGTTATTGACTTGTTTTTGCTAATTTGCGCAAGTGTTTGTGCTGTTGTTGATTTTTGCACTTTAGAGTGAGAAACTAAAATAACTAAAAAACTTGTAATCCTTGAGAAGTGGATTTCGGAGGTGTTTTCTGTCATATTAAATAATTGATAGGTGCGTTTGAATCCATTCTTTGAACTATCAGTATAATGTTTCAAATGTCTGAAATATCATTGACATGGTATAAAAATCTTAGATATTCACTGCAATACTATAATCCTTGGAGGTAGTATTATGAAATAAAGTATTTTATATTATCAATCATCATGTAAGAGGCATCTACATGGTTATGTTAATCTTTTGGATGATTGGCAGTCCCCGTTTCTCATGATTGAGAGAATAGGGTGGTGCTTGTTTGTCTGATCATAAGTGCACCTTCAGTAAAAATGGAGAAGTAATCGGGTGTTGGTCGTGATTTTAAGCCATATGATGTACTAAGGCGTTTGTATGCTTAGCTTTCCTTATGATAAGGAGTTGTGGATTACAGATTATTGCTTGCATGGTTTCTTATTTATTCCTCCTTGTTCGATGTTCTTGGTTGATTTCTTAGTTTAACTTTAATTTGAATATTAACATTTAGTTTCCTACTAAATGATTGGTAGATCAACAGATAGATAGTAAAGTTATAGCCTACCGTGCGTGCTATTATTTATATGATCCAATTTTTCAGACTGCATATAGCTTTTGAGGTCCATCACTTACAGTTATTGCTGGTTTACTATTAGCAGTGTTACAATACACTTTTGGTATCTTTCAGGACAACAACTCTTCCAGCATTTTTTGTTTTCGGAAAGGATCCAATCGATGTCTCCACTTGTGCCAAAACTTTATCTCACTACAGTTCGTCCAATGGAAAGCCTGTTTTGGTATGCATTTGTGTTCTTAAATCACTGTACTTATTTTTATCTTTTTCGGGATAACTATATGAAATCCATTAAGAAGAATGAGGGAATGATTTAAAAAACAATACGATACAAAAACGTAAGCCTTAGGTTTCTTAGGCTTCCTTGTGGGTCTCTTTCTTTTTTGTATGCTCTTGTATTTTTTTCATTTTTTTCAATGAAAGTTAGATTTCTTACCAAAAAAAAAAAAAAAGAAAACTAGCTTGAGAATCCAAGTAAAGATAAAATGGGCTAAACTCCTCCACATCAATAAAAACACTCTTATGTCTTTCTAACTAAAAATACCACAAAATAGCTAAGAACCTAACTTGCTGAAGAAATCTCTCTTTGTTGTGAAAAGAGGGTTGGGGGAGGGGCAGATGGAGAATACAACATCAAAAACTTCATCTTTTATCGAAAACTCCTAATTTCGAAGAGGTTACAAACATGAAATCAAGTCCCATTAAAATGGCATTTGGATGGCTGATGAGTCTTTGATTTGAATTTCATTTGAAAAGACACCATCAGTGTAATTTGAAACACCTTTTGTGTGCCTCAAAAAGAAAGGCATCACCTATCTTTGCACTCCGGACTTTAGCCCGAAAAGACCATTCTGTTAACTTTTTCTGTATAATTAAGTTTGTTTTGGGTAATTCAAAGTTGCTTCCATGTGGTTCTTGGCTATAGGATTATCAATTAATGGCTTAATGCAAAGGGAAATAGAGTTTGAACTCTACATGCTTGCTTATTTGAGGTTTTCTTCTCGTTAGGTCCAGTACTGGCCTCAAACTTATGGAAATCAAGCTACTAGATAGATACTATTCATCCACTGTTCGTGTGTGTATATTTCTGTCAGTAGATTTCTATATCAAATATCAGATGCACACATAAAGGAATTTAAAATGTAGGAATCTCAAACATGAAAATATGTAGCTATTCACCCTTCCCCCCAATAAAATGTACTATTATTATTTTTCTTGGGGGGGGGGGGGGGGNTTTCTTAATCAAATCATAATTCAGTCGGACTATTTACTTCGACTGAGGTTGCAATTCTTTTTCTTTAGTGCTTTTTTTTTTCTTTTTTT